AGTGTTTTACGGGGAATCTGACGCAGAAATTCTGGAAAATGTCACGGAAAACTGTCTGGCCAAGATGGCACAATTAGGTGGACAACCAACATAGTTGTACCCATTTTTCATCCTTTGCTCTTCCCATGAATTATGGGATTGACTTTTGATGGGACAGCTTGCCGGTTAGAATCATTGAACACCATCCATTCGGAAAAGAGATATGATGGGATACTTGGGCGACCTCATATTTCTGTCCTCAAGTGTACATATAAAAGAAGAAAGAAAAGTTTCTCCACACCATTAGACATCTGCGTAGCTCACAAGTGTGATGTCCAAATGGGTCGAGGAGTCAAATACTCCAGGCAGCCTAACCTGATTGGCTAGACGTGAGAGGGTCAAAAAGTCAACAGTGAACATTTACTCTTGTTCTGTAGATTCCTGGAAGACATCAGAGTAAACGAACTCAAAGCTGAAGTCATTCTTCACCCGCTGACAACCATTGTGACCAGGTCTCGTTTATTGCTGCTACACGGAGAGTGACGTTTGGCATATAGTACCGGATTTAATGCTTTACTGAAATTTTGATCAGTTAACTTACTACTAATTGGAGAGATTTTCAGTTGTGATAATGATAGACGTGAGAATTGCCGGCCTTCACTTTATGCGTAAATAGGTTGAGTCGCGGTGATAACAAGCTCAAACCCAACCCTAGTGAAAAGAGGACGACGATGGAGACGAACGTGCAGGTAGCTTTAATAGACTAGTGTAGCAGATATGGGCGTGGTTTAGGGAACAATGTCACTAAATCGCCTGGGAGAGGCACAAAACCAGCAGAGCAGGTAACATTAAGGAAGGCAGCTGACGGCTAACAGACAAATCCCACGGTTGAAACTTAGCTGATATGTTGATAAATTGATGTATGTCATATCTGGCATCTTCCTGAGAGTGTTCCTTGTTGAGAGTAAGAAGCAAACGGACTTGGGTTGATTCGAAGCTGGGAACTTGCGGAGCAACATACCGTCTATTGACGAGTTACCTCGTATTCAGATAGAATGTGGCATCAGCATCCAGTGTGGTGTTTTCCAGTCACTTAAACTTTCCAAACGATCATGAGTATGCAGCGTGCGAAACATCATCGGAGCCGATTACATCCAAAGTGCTTCCCATTTCCATTTGGAGCCAGTGCACCTGATTTAATACGCATGTTGAAAGGATGCAAAAAGCTACAAGTCGCTCAGAACAGTTCCTAACTCTTCACATTTCTTGAAGAGGACCTGATCACTAGGAAGCCACGGTTTTACCTGTTTTCGTGTAGTAGTGGTAGGGTCGGTTCTCGAAAGGGCATACAAGCGGTTTCACACACCGACTGGAGCTGAGTTCGAATCTAAACATCACGTGATCCTAACCTGCTGGCACCAGGTTCATACACAAACTAGCGTTCTAGCTCGCTAACTTATACAAACTCAGAAAGTGCGTGACTTTGAGTCGAGATCACCCACAAACCAAATTAAAATTGATTTAAACCCCCATTGCGGATAACTCAAGGGAATATGATTGACGGAAACTTGTAAACAAACATGACCAAGTTGCAGGATATGCTAAAGAGAATCTCAGCAACTTGCGTGCAATACGTGCCAAAGAGTATATATCCTAAACAGCCTTTCCTACTCATTCCCAATTGAATTGACCTCCTTAGTTGGTCTGTTACAGTTGTCCCTTCAAATGAAAACATTTGGGTATCAGTCACCGGGTTAAGAACCACAGTCTCAGTTATTTTCACTTCAGCTAATCATATGATTGTAATGAGAATCCACACAGGTACAGCTGACAATGTATTGTTATTAAGTGTTACTGGTGGTACTCTCTTTGAGGGGTTTCAGGTTGCCTTCCGACCAGCGGATCGGAGCGTCGAAAGGCCAGAAAAACAGGAAAACGAGAGGAAAAGTGACAACACTTCCTTTGAAGGCGGAGAGCAGCAGAGCCTTCGATGCATCTCTAGCTACAACCACTGTACGACGAGTACGGGTTATTACAAAAGAGAATCTCAGCAACTTGCGTGCAATACGTGCCAAAGAGTATATATCCTAAACAGCCTTTCCTACTCATTCCCAATTGAATTGACCTCCTTAGTTGGTCTGTTACAGTTGTCCCTTCAAATGAAAACATTTGGGTATCAGTCACCGCGTTAAGAACCACAGTCTCAGTTATTTTCACTTCAGCTAATCATATGATTGTAATGAGAATCCACACAGGTACAGCTGACAATGTATTGTTATTAAGTGTTACTGGTGGTACTCTCTTTGAGGGGTTTCAGGTTGCCTTCCGACCAGCGGATCGGAGCGTCGAAAGGCCAGAAAAACAGGAAAACGAGAGGAAAAGTGACAACACTTCCTTTGAAGGCGGAGAGCAGCAGAGCCTTCGATGCATCTCTAGCTACAACCACTGTACGACGAGTACGCGGTTATTACAGCTGGCAATGATGATGCTGAGAGTAGCCTTCGGTCACATGAAGCTGTTCGACTGACCTGGAAAAGTGACGGCGTGTGAACCAGCAGTCTGGCTTGCGGACCTGTCGAGTGTCCTACATCTTAGTCAACAACAAACTCGCAGTAAACTGTGGTTGCAGGACTGATCACTTCCTGTAGATTATCGATAATGAGTGGTACTAAACAGCGGAGTAATTCATGATTTCAACTAATGATGTATAACTATTAAGAAATCATGTTCCCCGGCCATGGTTATTGCTAACGAAATGTATCACAGATGTTAGCCGAACAACATTCCATTCAAGTCAAGGAAAAGATAGCACGACACAACAACCCATGCTTCGATTGGGAAGCTATTCAACATATCGAGTTAGTTTCTTTTATATGATTTATCTGATTCAGATGCGAAACTTAGCTTGTATTTACGTATGGGTAAGGTAGACACGAATGTGACGACCGCATCTGCGATCAAGTCTGTCCTTCCCCAGTGTCATTTTACGGACCATGAATAGAAGTGAAACGCTCTCAATAATGGATGCGGGTCCAGCTGCGCCGTGACCCTCTGCTTATGGATGGATCATCACTAAACGATTTGTGAACATTCGCGCGCCTCGAGTGGCATGGATCACTACCGATGGCGAATCACCACTATACAGCATTTTCAGGGTTGTGTCCTCACGGATTTATCGTATGGGTACCCACAAATTGTTCTTCATACTTCACCAATAGTTCACGGGCTCTTAGCTAGTATTGCTGTTAAATTACGCACCCATTATGCGGATGGGCATCGCAGCCAACCGTAATGAAACACTGCTACTCTCTATCAGCTGACTGTTAGCTACGCTTGTCATCGATGAGTGTAACTTGTCCAGCTACCGTAGCAAAGGTGAATAAGTTCTTCCACATCATACTGGAACACGAATGAATCCAAGTGAGACAAAATTCCCTCGGGTTTCGATCAGCGGTTCTGATGTGATAGGGTGGACTACCAACAGGACAGCTCAAATCACAGTCTAACACATTGCTTGTAGGTATCGCCAAAAACTGGTTCGGAATCTGTCCTTTGTACCCCGCGGTCGACCCCGAAACAAATTTCCTACGACTAGGAGTTCAATGTGATCTTCCTTTTCATTTGAACTATGGGGTTATCGTATACTGACAGAGTGACCATGAGTGGCCCATTTGTACATGGACTGATTCTTGGTCACGCAGTTATTCTGCAGAGAGACAACCCCTTCTAAAATATCTAATATCTCTACACTAATTGGCCTGTTGCGAAGTGGCTTTCTGGTAAATTATCTTAACCAAGCATGGGGTACAGTTGTACGAGTTGGGCGGTCGATTCGTTAAATTGTGCTCATGATGCAGGAGTCGAGCAGAAAGATTTCATGCCTACGCGCTACTGATTAGCCGTTAGCGTCAGTCCCTAGGCCTCCGTTTGAGAGGACAATTAGATTTAATGGCCAGCGCTCCCACAAGTCATCGGTTAACTAATTTCACGTCGTTCCCCACCACACATACATCTGGATGAAAAGAACTCCGTGAACTGGACGACCGGGATATGTCCTAGCGAGCGCAACCTACACAGCATGACCAGTTGATCTGCCGTGGGTTAGCCGCTTCTACCACGAACCATCCGAAATTGCTACTCCCAGCCGCTTAACAGACATGAATAATGCTTCGGAGATACACTGAAACGTTATTTGCATCTTCATTAGTCTTAGTCAACCAACCATTGTAACTTTGATTAGGCCTCTTTCTCCATTGCCTAACCGGCATAAATATGTGCAACAGTCCTAGCCTAAAGATGTACACAAACTTCATTACCCTCGCCGTGTCAAACTAAGGTTAAACATTGCTTACAGAGGTTGCCATACGTTACAAAAGCTAATGATAGAAAATATTTAGAGGGGACAAAACCCACCATAAATTGTCTGATTCCATTGCATATTCATTTGAAGTTTAGCATTCCATCGCCATGCTGCTCGCAGGAGCCAATACTCTCAAACAAGTATCATTTACCGTGTCACGAAAGCCTGCACGCTCCCAGATTTCTGACTAAGATATTCATATCATATTTTCGAATGCAGCAGTGGATTGGACGCGATCTACTGACAAACAAGTGCATGGCTTGCGGGGGTTAGATAGACGCTGGTGCCACGGCCCTATTTGGCCATCATAGGTGAACGAACCGCTCTGCAGGTTTATTGTCATACTTCCTGCACGAGTAATTCCTCCACAAGAACCATCCCAATAGGGGTAGAGAATATTCCTTCATTGCAACTCTCTCTAGAGGGACCCACGCAGAACAGAATAGATATGGTTCCACAAATAGCTGATTTGACCACACAACGGAAAAAGTCGTATGTTACCAACCCATATTAACACCAAAACATGCTACAGTTCGTCATATCAGTGAACCCTTTTCATTTTGACTTGGCTAAGCCTTGGATGAGTTTAAAGCACCATTATTTCACAGCCGAGGCATCCTTTGAGGGACAGGATGAAGCAACGAACGATAACAACAAAATTCTCGAGTCTTTATACAGAAATTCGTTTGTATGCTAACGTTGCCGGTACTCGGGGACTCAGCTGACGAGAACTGAACAGTTGGATCAGTCACATTGTTGTTGAAAAACACCTAGATACAAATAGCTGTTGTTGACTACTCTGTCACCAAGTGAAGTTCTAAGAGCGTTGCCTAAGCTGGGAGAGCATTGCATTTGTTTGTGAAAATCGCATATGACTCAGCTGAATTCATTATGCCGGTATCACCAATGGTCGGTGATTTTTCTCAAACAGGACGGCGCCGGTATAACGAGACCGAAGTTTGATCATTGTGACGAATGGCTTGTCAGCTGTCTGACGAGAGATACAGAGGAAAATGGGACAAATTTTGCATCCCCGCCAGCCAAAGACAGAATTCCGCGATACAGCAACAAAACAAACTCGGTGAAAATGACGAAAATAAACTAGTCGAGGTTGAGTATGAATAGTTATAATAATAGTAATAATAGAATAAACCTTTCATGTCGTGGTTGGGTTGTCTAAAATGACGATGAGCCCGTCAAAAGAGTGACGGATGGGGGCAGGATTGACGCGTTGCTGGAGTGTGGCAAGAGAGCGAAAAGCTATGCGAAAGAGCAAATAAAGACGCAACGGGAAAGACGCTCGATGGTTTTGGGATATTATGGTCAGTGTGTGACTAAGGTTGGCAGCAACTCGGTCACGTCACCATGGCTTCGACCAGCGGTTCGGAAATGAGGAAACGGAGCAGATCGGACAGGGAAACGACGCCAATAACTTTGTTGTCCTCGACGATTACCAAACGATGAACCTGTACAGGATAAAGAGAGATTTTGTAGACGAAAGGACGGAAACCAGTCTGATTGTTCTGGAGAAAGATGACTAAGATGGGAGGCGGGAAAAATGACAAATGTGGCTGAGGCTGCCTTTTCTTTCGGGGACTATTATTCGATCCCACAATCGTTTCGCCTAGCGCTCAGACGAAATCTACTGCAACGAACGAATGAGAAAGGCTTGCGTGTTCACATTCAAGGACAGCAAAGAACTCCTATCTTTCTTTGAACGAGTCTTTCGTGAAAACCAAATTGATTCGCAAATGAGTGTATTTCTCGAAAACATTCCAATTTGGGTTCAAGTGGAACATAGGGTTGACGGAAACTCGGGGACTGGGCCTACCTGATGAGCCTCAAGAAGGGTGAAACCGATCATGGGCTGTCGAAAAGTTTTCAACAACCTTGTGAGTAGTTTCCTTCATGAAAATATACCGCGATTTCTCGAATATCGTGCCAACTGAATCATGAGGCTGCCTGTGTGCAGAACATTGAGTTTAAGAATATCATAAACGAGAGATTCAGTTAGTCTCTCTTGAAAACCAAATTCATTTGCAAATAAGTGTATTTCTCGAGTCACCGATCACTTTGGTGGGCCCTATTTTCAAGCAGAAGACAGCTTTCTAGATGACAAGTTGAAAGTCGAAAACCAACGTGTTGCAAGCACAGGAAGACGTCTAATACCAGCTTACCTTACTTGATTCATCCACCATTCACCGAAATGGCCAAAGTCGGAATCGGGGAAGCATTTGGTGTGACTTCCTGCATAAACCACCATCGATTCCTTCTCATCGTCTTAAACTTTCCCACTTCGGAGCACAAACCCCTCGCACAGTACTAGGATTTCGCAACCCCCCCTATAAAGTGAACACCCTTGAAGATCACAAGAAAAATTCCACCTCGAAGGCATTCAAGGGCGAACAAAACTGCACATATACCAGAAAAGAGGCTGTCTTATTCAACGGAAAAGGAACCCTCAGAAATCATTGCATCGTTTGTGCTAGCGCAAAAGAATTTAGCTTGGTTCGCAAGTGCACTATTTCTGAACCCTCATATTTTTCGCACGACCTACCACCTATGGTGTTGGGTCTTCTCCAGCAGCATCGCATCAAAGAAGGTGTTTTCTGAAAGTTTTAAACTTCAAACACGTGCCATTGAAAAACAACGGATTCGATCCGGAAGAACAGAACATGAGATCAGTTTAATCAAGGTTGAAAACTGGATTTTGAAACACAGTTCTATTTTCTCCTAAAATCCTACACGCCTGAGTTAAGGCATATTCTATCTTTGACCGTTGTTGGGATTTGTGAAACCAGTCGAAGTGTGTGACCACTATCGGACATTGACGTTGTCCAGATTAGCTGCACCGAGATCTTCGATACGTGCAGATCTGAGTCAGAAAAGGTTAATGTTCGTTTACAATCCCTTCAGTTCAGATTATTAAACGGGGAAAGTGAAACACGGTCCCGAGATTGATTCAAAAAGGAAAAGATGTGCACTCCGTCATTGTTGACGAATGAGGAAGTGTCGGTGTAGAACATGGCACCGCTTGTGACGGGGGTCAGCGAAATATACTCACTTGCAAACCAATTTCGTTTTACAGGAGACTCACTTAGAACCAAGCTGAATCTCTCGTCGAAGAGTTTTCAACAACCCTATGAATAGTGTGCTACGTCTATAAATGTATCGCGATAGCACGAATGTCGTGCCAACTGAAACATGGGATGGCCTGGTGCGGCACATTCAGCTGCTTAAAAACGTCATAAACGAGAGATTCAGCTGGTTCCATGTGAATCTATCGAAAAGCAGTTTGCTTTCAAATGAATTTATTTCGCTAATTTCGTGCAATACGGATTCAAGTAGAACAGTAGGTTGACGGAACCTCGGGGACTGTGCCTACCTGATGAGCCTCAAGAAAGGCGAAACCGGTCGTGGGCTGTCGAAGAATTTTCGGCGATTTTACAAGTAGGGACAGAGGATCATTCTTTATCTACAAACAAGGCCGACATTGAGAAAGGGTTCCGAAGCATCGGGAGTTCCCTCTTTCCTATAGTGGCTGCTACTACCCAACCTAGTGTAAGAAACTTCAGTGGTTCATAACTCGATGTCTCCGGCTTAGGTTGCCGCTTTGCACCGCACTGTTCTTTTCTGATTGCTTCTATTCCCGTTTGTTGTGTCGGATTTTACTGGCAGGGTTCCATTTGTTGCTACTGTTAACACAATTTGCGAGTTTTGTAATACATTGTTCTTAATTCTATTGAATTGATCCCTTTTGCAAATGATCAACCCAAGTATTCTGTACGTTCCGGAGTGTTAAGCCCGAAACGGTGCTACAAGTGACTTTCTGTGACCATAGCTGCGCAGACGACGCTGAATAATGGATGGCATTGGCCAGACATGTTTACCTCCAGGGTGAGTGTTAGGAGTGGTGTGCGCAAGCTTTTGCATCGGGTTGGAAATTACGGGACGCTAGTCGGGCTCTTTCTGATCATTCTTGTCTTGTTCCCAATACACACAGCGTTTAAGTGCGGTTCAGAGCAAACCGCGTGTGCTTCGGGGTCCATCGGCGTAATTCGATGTGACAGGCCAATCCGGAAACGGTAGTCAGTCCACAATATAACCAGAGGGTGATTGTTGAAACACTGCAACACGATCACCCCCCGTAAAGGACACTCGCGACAGGGATCAATCTAAACTATCCATCCAACTACCCTCCAAACGGGTAGCTAGCTTTTGTTGTGCTAAAAGTCGCATTTGTCTTGAGGGACCGTGAGTGAGCCGGTGATTCTAGAAAAGTGGATGCTGTAGAGGGTGTGGTAACTTGATATTCATTCGTTGTATGGGAGGCAAGTTTTGCGGCAAATTTTCAAATTTTCAGCAATTTGCTCCCAACCATCAGGTGAACTGATGCCGTTTAGTTATTCCAGACGGGATTGAATAGTTCATGTGACGTCAGGAAGTCTGATCATCAAAATGGATACTGAATAGCTCGCACCACGTTTTCATTGACTGGATCATTTGGCTTAACAAAGGAAGCCACACGAAAAACCCGACCACGAAGACGGTTACATGTTCCTTATGCCAGAGACACGCGCGCCCGATCCGATGACAGAGTAAATGCTTATTTGCTATGGAAGGACACACCAGAAGAGACTAATCGAGTGGTTGAGGATTACGCCACTTTACTCCAACAATCGAAACGGTGAAATTAGTTCATCTATACAACCGATCATACCACCACAGATTACTGAGTCTACTGTGAACGAAATACAGTAGATCCGGTCTCTTCGGACATAACTTGACGATATTCTGTGAAATATGTTTGCGCAAAGACACTTTATTTCACCCGATGCTGTCAATATCAGTGGGTCTGTGTTTATTCGATCGGTCAACAACCAGTGTGAAGTACTCCGAGGCGATGGACTGTTGTTGTCCAACGAGTAATGGGGGCTCCGTCGTTTGCCAGTATGCTCTACGTGAATGTCTATGGAGTGCGGTCAGCTATCCTTGACCTATATGCGTCAGTTTTTACCGCCAACTCAAAGAAAACCAAAACGAGGGTTGGAATTCAGTGTCACACAATCGATCGCTTCTAAATCTTTGTTTCGACTGTAGCACCCTTTCTGTGCCTAGCTGCCATGCCACCCGAAGAAAGCATGAGAGCTGGGATACTGCCAGGTTGCCCAAGCCTAGACGGGAAGTCGAGAGGCAGAGGTCATGTTCGAACCACGGGCCTTCCGGTCAGTAAATTCGTGCTCTAACCACTTGGACCATCTCGCCCACCGAACGCTTCTACCAAAACGTGGATCATGGGACTATCAAACACATTTGTTACCGTGTGACGCACTGTACTACAGGTTCTGTAAAAACAAGCTGAACTCGATCCCAGCTCCTTGAATCACAAATTAAGCGGTTTGTGCAGGCTTTTTTGTTACTCAAATGGGGAACTGAAAAGATGGGTATGGCGACTGCATGCTATTCGACCAGATGCAAGACGGGAACTAGTGGACCAAGTGGGAACACTGTCAATTCACAACCGGAAGAAAAACGGTGATTGGCAGGCAATGGACGGGGGCAAAACCGAAAATGGACTTACACCGGCCTCAGCTATTCGGTTGACAATTGACTCCAGCGTATCATCCAACTGACAAGTGGCTACACCTTGGAATTTCTGAAAACAAGGCAATACAGAAAGTGGTGATGTGTATGTGAATGGAACGAATGATGCATCATCCACGTCCTTTACGTGCACGGCAGAACTGGTCATTAGAGCAATGAGATGGAAAACTTGCAGTCGAACGCATTTCAGGTATACAGATTTAAAATAGGTAGTATTCGGGACCAACGAATCACCTAACCCGATTGGTCAGTTGTTGTGGATGGCTAGAGATCAAGGCAATGAGTCTTATCCCACGACTGAGATTGATTGAGGTTCTCAAAACTCGACCTGAGCGTAGGTACTCCAAGACTAGGCAATATGGACTACCCAGAGTCCGTAGCTACAATGATTATTTTCCTTGTCGTATGTAAAGCAACATCAATGGGTGAACAGCTAAGTGAAGACCTTCTACTTTGTCCAAAACATTTCAAATTCTAATGTGATTTACAAATTAGGGGAACTAGTTGTATAAAGATTAAGTGTAGATCGCGAAAGCGGTCTTAATGACTGTCGGAACAGATATAGAACGGCACCAGGCGGGAATCGGAGTGTTTCAGGTCGAGCGGAGACAACTACTAAAAAACACGATCTTGCGAGAAGGATATGATGTGCAGTGGTGGTGGTAACACTCATTGGAAAGGTCAGACGGTAGAAGAACAACGATCTTGGACAAGGAGTAATAAGCCGTGATGTTTCGCAATATGGACTTGTCTGATTGTCAAGAATCAGAAAACAAAATATGCTTTTTGCCTTTGCATGCACACCGATTAGATGTGTGGGCCAAAAAACTGTTTCGACTGACCAGGAAAACCAAACCAATCTAAGGAGATTCACATGGGCATACACACTGTGGTGATTTTGCAGTTGGCGATGGGGCAGACGCATTGCAAATTGATCTACACACACACACATCAAACGTGGAGTAACCAGTATGTGCAAGAAACCGAGACATTGGTGTCTGTGCTAAGGTAGCTTACCACAGAAGCTTGATGAATCAGCCAACAAACGGAATAAAAATAAACAAAAGTGACTGAAATCTAGTGGATTTTGTATTGTTATANCCGAGACATTGGTGTCTGTGCTAAGGTAGCTTACCACAGAAGCTTGATGAATCAGCCAACAAACGGAATAAAAATAAACAAAAGTGACTGAAATCTAGTGGATTTTGTAGGGAAAGAGAACAATTTCGCATGGCTGATGTGTGTAGATCAGATAGCTTAAGACGCTGTAACTGGAACAAAATTTGCGAAAAACGCGCGCACATCGACAGAAACATTTGCATTGTGACAGCGTTCAAACATCTCATGGAAATGTCTTGAGACTGAAACTTCTAAGGGAAAGTACGGTTCTTTGGTTTATGGTAAATAGTAAGAATGGAATCAGACCAATGAACCGTACACATAGGGGGGTTTTCAAACCTCTTCGATAGTTTAACGGATGGAAAAGTGAGTCTAACGAGAGCCAAATGGAAAATAGGACCTCAGACGATGCACATACTTCAGGTGGCGACGTACTCACACATGCATCATTCGAAACAAAAGCTGGAAAACACAAAAAATTAACTAGTGAAACAATTAGAGTTGATCTTTATCTTTTCCATATAGTTAAATGAAGCTACCAGTTCGAATAATGAGAACTGAGCGTCAAAGGGGTTTCATGTTTCATCTGGAAGAAGGATAGACAACAGATCACAGGGCACCGACCAATCACATTACGAGTGAGTTTAATTTCAAGTGTGAAATCCTCAAACCTAGACTCAAAGTATCTGCTTTAATCCGTGTGGGACTATGACATTCAAGATGTTTACGATCCCATCCTGGAAGTTCTGGAAAACTCATGAACAAGTATCGAACCCGTTCATAGAAAGCCTAAAAGGTAACGTGATCAATCGGTCCTGTACCTCATCTCTTTAATCGAGGTTTTCAGACGACAGCTTCTCTTCACTGGTATCTCCGACACATGGTGAGATTTCGCTATGTAGAGGTGTGCAATGATGGGATCCGAAAACGCTGTCATGATCTGCCACGCCTATCTTAACTCCTTCAATGACGATGTCTGCAACGATTTGGACATCCTTATGAGCGATGCCGAAATGACTGAACAAATTTCGGGGCCCTACAACCTATTGTCGTCTCCGAGGGCAACTGAAAACATGGTAGAGAACGACATGAAGCAGCTGTGTCTATGCGGTCTACGGAGTCATTACCGAATCGTGATTTTCGCACATTTGGCATAAATCCGGGATATTTCTAGAGCCTCCAGAAACAGTCGTCTGGAGGTAGGTGAGGTCGGTGTCTCTCGACGTACTTCATCACGGTGTATAGAAGACTAGCCAGATTTACACTCTCATCTGAGGGGTAATTAGGTCTGACGGACTCAGCTATGGTACCAGAGAGTAGCAGGTTGTGATTAAGAGTCCCCATGGTCAAGCAAAAGTGGTACAACAATGAAGGCAGTATTTCAACAAGGTACAAGTGAACTGATCACATCTTTAAAGTCAGTGTTAAAGAGCAGCACGTAAAGCACTGGAGACCAAAAAATGCGGTTCTTCTCTCGTTCCGAAAGAAGAATACCCTTGAAACTGGAAACCATGTTTCGTGATCTTTATTCCCATCGAATCGGGACTTTCCCCACCACTGATCGGATTAACTAGGGTTAATCTGTTTCTCACACTTCTATTCAGTCATGATGCTGACGTCAAAACAGAAGAAAAGCTCCAAGGGACTGAGAATCTGGGGAGCATGATGTCTGGAAAAGACAAATGAAATTCGGCAATGCACACGAAATTCTTTGGTTGTACAAGCTATGTTGAGAGAACGGTCTCCCAGAAAACCCCATTTTTTCATATCCAGTAGAATCACCAGGGTGGAGGAACATAGTCTATCGACCAGGCTACGCAACCGTTCAAGCTGTGAAAAACGAAGGTGACATACGTACAATCAAGCCTGGAGCGATGTTTGTTAACACAGGTCATATGTAGCTTCGGAAGAAAATCGCTGAAGCCGAGGATTTGCTCAAAACAAATGTGAGGATGCGATTCGTTGTGTATTCGGTCCACCGAATTCAAAGAGGGCATTGAATACTCGGTCAGTGGTCTTTTCGGCATAGCAGATACAAACATGGTGGATACCTGATCTTGATTCGAAATCGTCAGAACATAGCAAAACTAAGATGATTGGGCTGTGTAGTATGAATATTCAACAGTTGGCTACCCAAAAGCGGCGTTTTTCGTAGTGCTGCCTGAAATTTCATTTCGGACAGGCAAGGTGAAAAGAAAGCGTCTACTACTAAGTACAGTGCTACGAAATCTTCACACCTTCTTGGATGTAGTCCAGGCGAATTCACTTGCGCACAGCTGGAAACTGCACAAGATGTGGTATGAAACTGATCCCAGTGGCGAACATACTGAATATCAGGTCCTCATAGTGCGGGGGATAAATACACCGTTGAAAGTGTCGTCCTCTACTGATCGATGAATGATTAAGAAATTCGCTGAAAACAGACACAAGAACGGTATATACTTGTGTTTAACTGTCACGTAACGACGCAGTATGGAATGGAAAGGACCGGAAAAGCCCGTGTCCTTTGCGAAAACTAAAAACCAAGGTGCCCACACCGTCGACAGTCAAACAAAAAAGCACCGAAGCATTACGGTGATACATAAGATGCTTTCAGCGGCCTGGAACCAGCGTCGCTGACGAACCTTGATCAACAAAAACTCGATCCATAAAAACAGATAAACTTTGACTAAGCTTGGAATTGATAAGTCGATGCGAGCGGTTGTGATCCGGGTCCAGAATGAATTCTAATCACGAAGAAGGAGAGTCACGGCTTTGCCATATGACAGCCTGTTTCCAACGAATTTTTGTCAGCAAGGGTTTCGAACGAAAAACAATGCTTTTTTGGTAGACTATGATTTGGCATACATCTTAGCCTGAAAAGTGTCAGTTGCTGCAACGCCGATCCTGATTCTCTACGAGGTTTTGGCAACCCTGTGAGGAGTGTATTACGTGTATACACGTGTCGCGATATCTCGAATATCGCACCAACTGAAACACAAGGTGGCCTGGTGTAGCACATTCAGTTGCTTGAAAACAACATCATAAAACAATATCACATCATAAACGAGAGATTCAGCTAGGTTCCAGGTGAGTCTCCAGCGACACCAGATTTGTTTGCAAATGACTGTATTTCGCTCGGGGAAGGAAACCAAATTTGTTTACAAATGACTGTATTACGCTCATTTAGTGCAAGTTGGGTTCAAATAGAACATAGGTTTGACGGAAACACGGAGACTGCGCCTACCTGATGAGTCTCAAGAAGGGCGAAACCGGTAGTGGAATGTCGGAGAATTTTCAGCAATCTCATGAGTAGTATATTACGTCTATGCATGTATCGCGATATCTCGAATATCGTACCCACTGAAACACAAGGCGGCCTGGTGTAGCACATCCAGTTTCTTCAAAACATCATATACGAGAGATTCTGCTAGGTTCCAGGTGAGTCTCCAGCAAAACCAAATTTGTTTGTAATTGAGTGTATTTCGCCAATCCTTACGCCGTGTACATTGATTTCACCTCCCATAAATCGCCGTCAAGATACAAAATAAAGCGTTTCCAAGGAATACAGAAGGATTGAAAAATCTGAAGCAAGACTTTGAAGGAATCACTTTCGATATTCCAGTTAGAGTAAGTTGCACAAACTGAAACTGGCTATTTTAAACCTTGTATTTGCGGTCACTTGAGGTGCATTACATGACTGAAAGGAAACGGATGACAGACCCGCAAACACCAATAATTCCGGGGAAAAAATCATAAGGTCTTACAAGTGTCAAGGTCATTTCTCCTCTTTCACATTTGCTGCCAGAGAATTTGACGTCATACGAAGAATAATGAACAAGCGCTTTTTACATCATCAAAATCTTTGTTCATGCGTCTAAATATCGCGTCCACGAATGCAGAATTTAGACTCGGACCAATTGGTCAAGGTTAACTGTCCTTGACGAACGTCTCACGTAATGGACAAGTCTTGAAATTCCATACAGATATGAACGTCCGTTGAATGAAAAACAGCTGTTTGGTTAGGACAGAAAGCCATTAAAACTGAGCTACTTTGTGGAATATTCGTCTTCCGCCCAAATTTTGTTTGCTGGGTTTGTCTCACTGAGCAGACGCACTAACGTGGGGTACAACACAACACAAGTACGCAAGACGGTATGGATTTATTTTAATTAAACCAGTGTGTTTCGGAAAGAATGTGAACCACCAGCCAATCGATCGATTTTTGCCTAATCAATATCTGAGCAGATGCATGCGACCGCCTGGTGAACATACATGGACTCGTGTAGAAATCTACGGTAGAAATCTGCTGATCAATGCACGACCAATCGATAAAACGATTTGGTTGTTTTCCGTTCCAGCAACGGAAGAACCACAACATATGGTTGATAACTGCCTTCCAGGTTTTAACAGGTGACTGATAGCAGGTTGAGTGAACCCGTTTCTGGTCTGACGGATACTTGAGAGTTGCGACGACTTGAAAGATGAGTGATTAAATGTTCACACACACAAATATGGACAGAAAGTTCGGTTTCTTTCTTTAGAAACATTACTATTTATTACGAATATGAGTGCCCCCCATATTAGAGCGAATTTTCCATCCCTACATGAATTACGGTTTGGAGTCATGGGTCGGTCGTCACTATTGGTCCAAAGACAGTATAGTGGCTGGAATACTTGTATGTGATCTGGGGACAACAAACACTGGAAAGGTGTGATCAACCCCTTGAAAGATAGAGAGACAGAGAGCTGATACTTTCATTCACTGAAATCAGTCTATTGCTAAATGGAACGAGGAGATCCACAGCAAGTCAATCAATCGATCTACCTGTCAGCTAGCACAATGGTTCCAGCCGCTACAATTTTGATTACCGGAAAATGGGAGAGTGTGACAGTTTGAGCAAACTGGAACTTGATCGGTAGTTCTTTTTAACGTCACCAGGTGTGAAACGAACGACGCTTTTTCTGACATCCGACCAGTTGAAACATTCGAAGTAGTGAGGGCTAACTTTGACATGGCACAACGGATCTGGATAATTTATGGCCGGTGATGGTATGATCACTCAAATATCAACATTTCACGGTGGTTGGAGAGGGTAACTAATAGCTGTGTCACGTGCGTTAACGCAACCTTCACCGTATCTATGTGTTTTAAACAGCTACTAGGGTATGCAATGAAATACATGGAAGAGTCAATTTAAGCCTGGCTGTGATCGCCAACTCCAGTAACCTGTCTCAAAACGGCCGAAAGCGTGTTGTACCATCCAAAGGAAACCTAATACAAGCAAAAGACGATAAAATTATCGCAAATATTTATTACAATATCATAGTGAAAGTAATAGTCATGAGTAGCTCGATAAACATCGGTAAGTATGAATACCTCGAGGGTCACTACAGCCTGTGTTCCAGTTTTGTAACTTTACATCTGCATCCTAAATAGGAAATGTCCCTGCGAGTATCTCAAAATGAACTATGGCCGATTTAGCCACGAAATGTCTTCTATTGTGAGAAAACCGACTTACAAACGATGACTAGCAAGCCATGATTGGGGCAACTGGATATATCAATAGTGGTGTATCTTTTTAGGGGGTACATCAAAAGTTCCGGGATTTAAAATATGTTTCTCCTTTGGTTATCGGTTATTTGCACTCTTGTTTTAACAAGAATGCAGCATAGGAAAATCCGCGCAGTCGAAATTTTGTTTCCTAAGAGAGAGTTTCCGTTTGTGGAGTGGACTGCTGTTCGGAGATCTGGGCCGTCGTTTCCGGAAAAAGCGGGATGTATCATCCATTACGCTGACGACTGAAATTCCTCACGTTTATTCTGTCCCCATTTGTAACCCCGGCCCCAATTTTTGTGTTTAGTGTGTGCATATGAACTGACGTTTGTTTGTCCTTACCACTTCACCCCTTTGGCCTTGAGGTCATCCGGCAATTTGTAGCCGACTTTGTGCACGTGTGACTGTCTCACGTGACAGCCTGTTTGCTCCTTTAGTTTGTGCTTTTGTAGTCCAAGTGGACCATTTGTTTTGGACGAGGGTCGAGGGTCGTATAATTTGTGAATTTGTCTTACTCTAACAGTACCGTATAGAAACCCAGCTCCGACTTTGTTTTGCCTTCCCGGAGGTTCTGGTATTACGTGTCACTCGAAGATACCGTTCGCCCGGAATATTTCACATTCCTTAGAAAGTAAGTGATAGCTCTGTTAGGGGGCGTCACTGAGCACGTGAGTGTTCATGGGGAGAAGGCAGTCAGTATCGCAACCGAGTTTGTCAGTTGAGAGTTCTGGAGTACGCATTTCCTGAATGAAAGTAAGAGTCGCACCTAGTACCGGATAGTGTAGAATTAATCTAGACCTAAGAATAGGCAGTTAGTTCCGTCTGAAAGACGCAAGGGAGTGGCGTGGATACTCTTATTGGTATCCTGCCTTTCCTAGCTAAACAGCTGTTCACTTAAAACGGAATTGTTATCTCTTGGCTCGCGGCGCATCCAAGGTAGCCAGCTACATTATGCGCGTTACTTTTCAGAAGATTAACGGAAAACCGATACTACGATAGAGCGATAAAGTTGTTGGAAAAGGAAAAGAGGGCACGCAAACGATTTTTCATGCCAGTCCAACACCGGAGCTGAGAACCCATCTACTCAAGAGCAACGGGAAAGTGTTAAAATCATGTGTTACTTAATCTGAACCGCCCGAAGCATGTATTAACACAGTAATCCTCAGAGGAGGAGGCATTTAGACTTCAGGAGAGATAAGGGATGTACTGTGAAGGGCTGGGGAATTTCAGCTGCGTACAAGAAAATTAGTACCGCAACACTCTATATCGAATTCAATCCGACTAGCATCCGTCATCCATTTCACTGGCGCGTTCCCACCCGTCATGGGGTCGCAATGGTCAATAGCGACGGAAAACGAGTCGATCATATACTGCATGAGTATTCATTTTGTAGAGTAAAGCAAGGCTGTTCATACTGTTAACCCTGTAGTCGCCTGGGACGTTTCTGATCAGCAACCAGAAATGACCTGCGGCTTTTTGTTTACTCAGTTCACTTTTGGTCGCCTCACAGTTCAGCAATCATCATCATCATCATCATCATCGACAGCATGACATCAGTGTTCAACACCGATGCTTCACTGCAGTCAGTCTGTTTTGGTACACAGACGGTTATCAGCAAGTTGTTTTTGCGGTACCAGTGTACTAGGAGTTACCCCATACGTGACAACGGGGATTCGGGATAAAATGGTGAGTTGAAGCCATTTCGGTTTGGTTAAAGTAGTGTTGTGTACATGCATTCGTCAGATACAATCGGTATAACTTTTGTGACTTAATAAGGAACTTTGGGCGAACAACGGATGACACCAGGAATCATATAAGCATGGGATTGTGGAGGAAGGAATTGATCTGAAATTTACTATCTACGATTTAAGACGAGACTGACTCATGTAGTTCGACCATGAGTGAGTATCTGCTCTGGTTACTCTCCTCTTGTTACTCTTGGCTAGAGAGGCTCAGTGATTCGCCAGGGTCCAGAACTTCAGTTCGCGGAAGAATAATTATCTTGAGCAAGAACCCTAAATAATGATACGAGGGAAAGGCAGCGTCCTGATTATTGGAAGGGTAATCTCACCAACTCAACCACCCTATGCCATTCTTCACATGCGGGTTGCCGCTCAATTGCCAATCAATTCAATCAATTTACCAGTGGATTAAAATCTAAGAATTGCAAGCGCTTGGGTGACCACCGCAATCGAACAGCAGTTCAAAATAGTATGACCAATCCTCTTTGCCAAGCCTGTCATAACGCCATTACTTAACACGTTTGAGTAAGAAAGTTGGAATACGTTTACCTGTGAGCGCAGTTAGTCGATTAACACGGAGAAAGAACCGGTGACAGGACGGAATGTGTGCGTAGTAACTCAAAGGCAAATTTTGGACTGAATGCCACAGACACATATTCCAGGAGATGAAGCCAGACAGCGAGTATCTAGATGCCGGTTCAGTGTCTTAGTGGTGCACTGATAACAAGAAGGGTAAGGAAAGAGTTGCTTCAGAACGAACCAGAAAGCCTCGAAGCAGCATCACACCCCAAAAACGGTCAGTCTATGTAATCTATCGTTCTACCCAATATAGCTAGGGTGCGCGTCAAAGTGTCCTGTTCAACGTCTGATACGCCATCAACATTCATAGGCGCCCATCAATAGAAAGCAGCAATTGTGTTAGGATTCAGCCTAACGTTTTTGAAAAACGGCTAAAGAAACCAAGCAGAAATTTGTGTTGACATGAATTGCCGTTACATAGACGGGGCGGACTTATAGTACATGTGTACACCCAAATCACAAGGAGGTACAGCCCACTGGAAAAATGGGGTGGATATAATGCTGTCCAATAAAACCTGGTGTGGATGATTGAACGACGAGTTTAAGGTGACAACAGCTAGTTGATTGATCGCTTATTCAGGACATAGGGGAAAAAGTAAATAATGAATGAATAATCGTTTAGCTGCAACATCCTTCCGTTGCCATGCCACCCAAAGAAAGCACGAGGGCTGAGATACTGCCAAGTTGCCTAGACAGGAACAGTAGAGGTGCAGAGATCGGGTTCGAACGATGGATCTTCCGGTCAGTAAATTCGTACTCTAACTACTGAGCCATCTCGGGCACTATGGAAACAAGGGCCACCCGGGGGATCTCTCCACAGGATATGGATACTGAATCCGGTGCACTAGAAGTCAACTACAGGCTTTTTCACAGAGTAAAGCGAATATTGTACAGTTGTACGATTAAGAACATCAAAAATCGGGTTAGTCAGTTGGTTTCCAGCTGAATCACCTGTGAAAACCAAATTGGCATGCAGGTGAGTGTATAAGTCGAAAAGCGAATGTTGTTTATAACACCTTTCGGTCAACCAAACTACTCTAGGTTACACAAAATTAGGCCAGTAGTGCACACGTCAGACATACCACAACCTACCCCAAGAAGCGTACGAGAAACCAGTGTGCCACTGGAAGTTGCGAAATGCAATAGGGTACAGGGCTATTAAGGACCACTTGAGAGAAATAAAAACCGGCGAAAAACGCACTGCAGCGCAAACGGAAACAGTGGCTACTTATGCAGCGGAATAGCAAACACAGGTATGCATAAGTCGACAAACAGAAATAACCCTGTGTGTAATTGGGTAAACACCCGAGAGCATGGAGAGCATTTTGGTGGATGAAAAAGCTCCGAAGTGGTAAAACTGCGCAGCTGGAACTAATTACAATGAACAACAGTCAAACAAAGATTTAAACTTACACCGCGACGATAGTTGAGCGCATCATAGACGGTGATATCTAAATTCTGATAGGTTCGTGTTGCCGCCAAATTCTGAAAATGAGCAGAACAAACAGGGGTAAAACATGACATCCAGGATGAATTTAATAGTCGATTGGTCACAGCTGTTGGATTGGATCGATACACATCCAACAATCTGCTTCATGACTCCGGGGGTAGTAGATATGTTGGTCTACTACTGTTGGAGAAGGTAGAGTAAACACAGACAATCAGATCGTACAACAAACAGACGAGTTTGAATTCGATCAAATCAACTGCCCTGCACAGATCGATAAAGTCGTTCTCAGCATAGAACAAAACACTAAAGAAATCCATCTAAAGCAAAGGCTGTCAGATCAGTGGTAGAACAAAAGTTTTCGAGGCGGAAGGACCGAAAATAAAGTGTGGATGGGTGGGTACATGTTAGCTTAACATGAAACAGATTTTCACATCAGTCTGGAATTAGCAAGACCATTGAAACAGAGAACGAAAAAGACCTGTTGCTCAAAGAGGGGGTGAACCGATAAGGCAGCTTCTTATATATTTTGGTCAAATAAGCAAAAACGTCCATGTTTGCGGTCCGAACGATTTGTGTTGATTATACCGCACCCATAATCAGGTTGGCAAAGGTATACTAAACTACATAGGATAAGTCACTTCGTCTAACATACCGAGTTATACCCTTCAGAGAGATGAGAAAAAATGACGAGAAACCCGAGAGCTGCCAATGCGACATGCGTTGGTACAGAGGTCCTAGAAAACACGGCTTATCGCAGATGTTGCTGGTGTCATTGTTTTGCATGAACATTTAGAGGTTTGAACAATTGGAAATGGTCGCCGTTGAACAGGGCAAAAGTTTCTTGTCTCCTGTGCACGACAATTTATTTGCGAGTAGAGTAAGGTGGGTGTAGAGAAGTAAACCGCAGTACCTAACAGTGGTTCTCATCGATAATGATAGGAGGAAACACTTCATAAGGTATGCCCTTAGTCCATTCCAAGAAAATTCGACGGAATTTGCGATGGGGACCACTCATAGCTCTGTGGTTCAGTTGAAACACCCTTTCGGTGCCTAGCTGCCATGCCATCCAAAGGAAGCATGAGAGCTGGAATACTGCCAGGTTGCCCAAGCCTAGACAGAGGAAGTCGAGAGGCAGAGGTCGGGCTCTAACCACGGACCTTTCGGTCAGTAAATTCGCGCTCTTACCACTGAGCCATCCCACCCGCTCAGCTTCGTACATCTTTATCATATTATGCACAGCTACCAAAACCAAATTAGGGATCATGGAGTTCTTATAGGTTCTTGTTTACGAAAGTAAGGCAGTGCTCGACAAGGTGTACTTGGAAAGGCCGTTTATAGTTCACAGGTGGCAAGAACCGAAATTTGAACACGTATTTGTGCATTGGTATAACAAGCTTTTTACAAAGGAATGGGTTGGTAATTGATCAGGTGGCCGTCGATCTGTTCTCTGAGTTTTGGCAACTGATTTGCGAGGGTTTCATCATCATTCGAGGAGACATCCTCAGTACAGCCTCCTTGAATGGTGACGAAACATTTACAAACAAATTTCCAAGCTCGGAGAGCAGATCAGGAGCCACGTGATCAATTACCATTTGATCCACCCTAGCTACCAACATTTCAACAAATTTTCAAGGGAATTAATGAGTGTATCATCGGAGGCAGACGACATTCGAATACAATGTCAGTTGATAAAGTCAGTTTTCAACAGTTCCGGGTGACACAGCAACAAACTTGACTGTCGAAATAGCATCTGCATGACACGTAACCCTTTGATAAAGACGCAGCAGCCGGATTTTCAGAAATATGTTGCATTTCATGACAGATTCGAAAACTCAACCATATGGTGCTCATTTGCGCTAGGAGGCAATCAATGAGGATTACTTGGCAGATAATGCGTTATCGATAAGCGTTGATGGTTACTGGTAACAATATCAGTAACCAGTCAACATATCCCGAGTGTTCACTCCCTAATGGGGTGCATTTGGCTTCTGCAGTTGAAATTCTGTTTACTTCTGGGTGGCTCACGCTTAGAGGGACTACATTACCGCATTTAACCCACACCTACAGCTACTACAAAATTGTGGTGCGCCATTTCTGAGAGTAACTAAAATGAGTATCAAACAGCAAGAATAGCAAGCCTGAATAGAGCACGACGGTTCGCTGGTGAGACAAACAGATCACAGCTGTAATCTTGAATAATCGCCCATCGATTAGACTGGTGAATGGCAACACAGGACCCCCACCTCCAGGTTCAACAGCGCTCACATAGGGGATTTTAAGGACACAACTAACTGGAGGGAACTGAAAACCCAGCAGCACCAATGCCTTAAGGAATCCGTGAGGAGTTCTAAACGCATCGTTATAGGTTGGGTTTCGATTTAAAGTGCAGGAAAAAAGACTGATAAGGCACAACAACAGGCACACTGTTGTGTTCAAATACATCGAAAAAGGATGTCAAACCGAACTGCTCTGTTCCTATCGCAGACCTAGACAAGGGAAATCGCAAACTGATTCCTTAAATTTTTCAAGATAGTGCTACTTGGTTTGGGAGTTACGTGAGACGAATGCTCGATGAGGCGAGTTTGAGCATGAACCCCAAAAGATTTTGGAATCTGGACAGATCGACCATCAAGTGCTTTTGAAATCGGTCGAAAAAATTTTTCCAGTCTGCTTTTTATGTGGTGACATCAGCGTTTTGGCAAACAATAGCACAGCGGAACGGGGTGTTCTGCTCATGCTATTTATATGCGAGTGCAAAGAGACAAGAACAAAAACTTCATATAGCTGGGACTAATGTAATCCTTATCGAGTCGACCGATGAGGATATTGAAACAATGTGTGCGATTCCCACCAGAAGGTTGGACTTTCAGCACACACGGCAACGATGCGCGACGCAAGGCCCCAGAGTAGGGGAAGTGCTCAGAGAAGCAACAGAGCAGGTTTCACGAGATATCCAATGTTCGATGAGCTGGATGAAAACATTCTACCATCGCAGCTTCGCTTGGCGAAAAGTCACGTGGAACAGCACCACCTCGGCCATTTGTCCGAGCTGTCCAATGGCAGAGTTCACTGCCAGTACGGTTACCAAGTACACGACACGGCGTTTGCTCGTGCCGGTAAGTGAGCGCTCGAGATGGCAGTCTATTTTCGGAGCCAAAAGCCTTGCACAAACGAACACAGGGGCAAGTGTTCCTTTCAGGGGAAACCGATGTCGCCCGGTGTTAGTTCGTCCGCTGCATGGGTACTCATTAGCAGCGCGAAGAATGAAGTGACGGAAATGAATTCCTGTGGTAACTTGCGGGTTTGTTTGGATCGGCATCCATATTTAGACCGTTCCTATCACATTAAGCTGTGTTTTGACTTAATTCTTATCCCACTCTGGGGCGATTATTCTGGAAGTAAACACATAACCCTAGCTTTACTCTCATTTGAGCTGACTAGTGTCACACCTTTGGCATTGTTGGGCTTTGGACGCCATTCATTTGACACGAGAAGCAAGCGTACAATCACGGTCTAACAAGAGCGAGAATCGAGGATAACTACGCCAAGACAGGATGAAGATTGTACAAATGATACTGACAAAATACGGGTTGGTTTCCACTGTGTTATCGGGATAGTTTACAATACACTAGTGATAGAGGGAGATGGCCAAGTTAATCGAAAAAACCGGACTATATACGTAGGCAAAAAATGACAGGAAACTTGTGACCGTCCTACTAGAAATAGCAACCGTGTTGAAAGCAGTTAAAAACTCTCCAAGTTGCTTGATATTGCACCATGCTTCCGCTGACAGTTCGGTCAGTGCCAGAGAACCCACTTTTCAAAAACACGTGATAAGGAATGCACTGAATATAGTACAAAGCGTTTCATATGTACGTACCCGTAAACCAACAACCAATGGGAAGTACCAAAACGTGCACGTTCAATGATATGTTGGTAAGATTTCTCATCCAAATTTGAAGCGAAACAGATCCATTTCAGCAGGTTTAAAGTTAACATGGCGGTAGGTATCACCAAGAGAAGTATACGGTAGAATCAGCCTACCAACGACACAATATTCGGAAAAAAACAGCCCACACATTGCACTTCAGCAGAAGAATATGGTAGCCAAAACAATAACTTGGGAAAAGCAATGAGGGATGATCAAACTGTCGCCCACTAAGACGTGGCACTCATGTGAAGTCTCACAGATATTCGAATCAGACGTTCGGAAGATAGTGGACTTCACCTTATGGACTGTCACAGCGACTTATTCACCGTATTTTAAACTAATTCAGTGCATTATTTCAGGTGTTGAGTATGAAATTCTGTTGTAAGTCGCAAGTCAGTTATGCTAGAGCTCACAGTGTACAGCTGCAGAACATTATTTAGGTGGCTCACAAGCGGGAGTTCAAGGGATTGTCAGACAAATATTTGGGACCATTTGGATACTTCTGTGCCCGTATACTGGTGCTTGATCACGCGGGAAAACTGCACTCTTGCCCAAAATGTCTCAATTTCGTTTATCTGAGGGCCGCGCAGTTGGTGTAACTCGCCGACGTACAATCTATTCGCCATATTACACGTGGACAAATCTACAGTAAAACTTTGAATTTTCCTTCCAGGTTACCTCATGGGTTTTATTTTAGAAGATGCTCAACCGTCCTCGTTCCATAGATTGACTGAACCAAAACTTTAAATGAGTGGTCCCGCAGGTTCCGTAGGATTCCGCACCGTAAAACTATAAGACTGTTTCTATTGAAGCGCAGAGGATAACACATTACTCGTCTTCGCTCGTCCTCAACCTTTCAAGCCAATGATACTACCATCCGGACAGAGGAAGAGCAGACGCTTCACCAGATTATCATGCAAGGATTGAGTTGATAAGTTAACACGGTTTGTGAATGAGAATTATTGTCACTGCGGACAGAGGATGTTAGAAAGTTCATTGTTCGAACACCGATGTTGCCGGAGAACCGCCTCATTCTTAGGTGAAAGTAGGACCAGAAACGCGGAAATATGCCGAGCGGTTTGTGGAGGAAGCAACACAGAAACG